CAAAAGTGGTGGGCGGCTAAACATGAAACGATCTGGGAACTGTTCTGTTTTGCGCGCAGACGCGGGCCAAAGTGAAAGTGCATCTCAGGGAGTCGCCGCTGAAGTGCTCTGTAGGTGTGGCTCCCTTTCTAACCATGATTAATCCAATGAGGTTGGACCATTGTTTCGATTTTCCAACCTTTGCGTAACACCCAACTGTTGAGGTATCGCTTTTTTCCCCAGACTTGCTTAACATTGATTTGGTCAATCGTTGGACCGCTACAAACAATGGCTCCGGGCACCCTTTGCCCTATGCTCTTCTCGGCTTCCCTCAAATCTTTGAGGGGAATACCTGCAGAGGGGAACTCCCAACAAACGCGTTCAAAGCAGGCTTTGGGTCTTAGGCTTAGGCCTCGTTAGGCGTTTTTAGCTCTGGGGGTTTCAATAGGGAACCTCAAAAGTGTTTGGTGGACACTCAGCTCACCAACGGCCCGAAAAACACCCCTCCCAGGAGACTTCGCTGAAGGAAACGCCGGGACCAATCTATAAGAATTCACAAATGAGGATGTGTGTGTGTGTGTGTGTGTGTGTGTTTTTTTGGGTACCCTTGTTGGGGTTGGTTTAAAAGGAAACCAAACTAAGATAATCCATTCAGCAAGTGGTGGAAACAAAACCCTGCCATGATTTCGCTCCAATCAGTTTCAATCACAGCTCTTGAAAAAGTGCTTCAACATGTAGCCGGTGGCCGGCGGAAGAATGAAATTACCCACTTTGCGACAATCACAGAAGTGATCGGTCGCCGGCCTCTTTTAAAACCTGAACTTGACAGCTTCCATGTTGGAAGCAGGGGGTTGGGTGAAACATGACACAATTCCAACATTTTAGCTGAACTGGTCATGATAAATAAAAAAAAGAATTGCGCCATTGGCTTTCACCTTGCACTGGGACCCAAAACGCTCAACGGGAGCCAACGGCACCCGGCCTTTGTCGACCTGCAGGCGTGTACGGCTGGGGCTGGCGAGCGGTGAACCGGCGTATCGCCATTACCGGCAAGTTCATCAAGGGTGATCGGCGGCTTGGCATGGGTGCCAGGGGGTTTGTCGGGAAGGATTTCGGGGTGTGTCTTTTTGAGGGTACGCTTTTCAACATGGTTGTCTACGGTGCTTGCACTGTATTCAACATCTACTTAATTGTAAGATTTCTATTGAAATTAACTAGACGAATCAACCAGCTTGTCTTTCCTTCGAGATTCTATTTAGAGGATAATCAAACTAGTCTTGCGCATCCTAGATACTGTACGTGGAAAGAGAGGTGTATTCGGAATCTAATTCAACCTAATAATTGTAACTGAATTTATTGGAAGAAACAACCAGCTTGTTTTTCCTTATTGGATTCTGGTTAAATTGTAGTTAAACTCCAACTACGTTCTAATCAGCTTCCTCCATGGAAAGGAAATCCTATTTAGGATTGAAGGAAATCCTGTTGAACGTCTAATTGACAACAATAATTCCAATTAAACTCAAAACTCATATGTGAAAATAAAGTCCTGCTTGACATCTAAATTGAAAGTGTGGAACACAAAATCACATTCGCAAGTTCTTAGAGAAAACTTTGTGTGTCTAACACAAGGAAGTACATTTCCAATGGACCCAAAGGTTATGAGCCTAAGCTAGGCGCTCGCAAGCCATGTTTCGGAGACAAAGACCTGCTTTGGTGGCTCTGGGTGAGACGGCAGACCAGGCGCTGGACCGCCACATCAGGGAGCACCAGGAGGACGAAGCCCGAGAGGGCACGCAGGGCAAGGTCCATCGATGTAGAAAAGGGCAGGAGCCTTCAAAGGTTGGGGGCCTGGATGCCAGCAGGAAATCAAGAAGCACCACAGCAGCCCCCGGCACCTCATGACGGTCCTGAACAACCTGGTGCGACGGTGGAGGTGGGAGCGGTGGGAGGTCTATGGCAAGGCCGCGCGGCCGGTCACAAGGAAGGGGCATCTGTAGCACACCAAGAAGGGTCGGGTTTCCTGGACGTCCGGATGCTCCGGAACATCTTGAGGGGAACCCCATAGAAATGCAGCAGTACATTTTTCAGGACCGGGAAGGGCATGTTCTGGAAAAAAGGTGGAGGCGCCGCGGATGGGATGGATTCCAATCCCTTTGGTCGGGTGGAACTTCACGTGTGAATCCGTCTTGGCCCTGCGGGGAATCTACCGGCCAGATGCACATTCAATGCCACCTGTCGTAACTCTGGCGATGTTGGAATTGCGGAGGCAAACTACTGTGGTCTTTATCAACGTCAAACTAAGCTGGAGGTCCCGAACATCTGGACGGGTCTGGGCCTTTGAGAGGCCGGGTGAATTTGACCGACCTTGCCCTTGAAGGGTTTTTGGATTCCTGAAGTCAAGGGCTTGATTGCAGCTGGAGTCCTGGATGTGGAGGTGGAAGTTCAGGAACTTCCTCTACCCAACCTACTTCAGCCGGGCATCAACGGGAAGCCGGCCTAGACTTCAAGCACTGCGATGGAAGAAGAAGCCATTGGAAAAGGAAGAGGTCTCCCCAATACTCAAGGACCCTGCATCCAAGAGGAAGGAGACTACCCCGGAGATAAAGAAGAACGTGGTGAAGCAGGAGATAGAGGTGCAGCAACTAGGAGCAGACGAATTCAAGGTTCCCCGACAACGTCGATGGGCCACTCGGGCTCATGGCAATAAGCCGAGGAAGCGCCGGTTTCACCCCATCCATAGGGAGTTCCCGTTGGATGAATTTCAACACAAGAAAGGTTACGGTGAAGCTCTACACGGGCACATCGTCTTTGGGAATCCGACAGACAGGTAGACGAAGACAGCAACCAAAGCAGACAACTTCACAAATGCGGCAGCGGCGTGGCTACACCTTCTTCAACAGTGGAAGGACTTTGGGGAGCATAGGAACTTTGGCGTTGGGCCCTGGCAGCAGCCGAGACATCTCCAAAAACTGTGGATCGACAAAGCGGGGAGAGGACGCCCAGCTGTGACTTTTTCTTCTGGAGGAGTTCATCAAGCTGGACGTGGCCTCCAAGAAGATAAGAGGGCCTCATCTTCAGGTTCATCCAAGTGGGATGTGATCTGACGGTTTGTGCTGCAGAGTACAACAGGGGGAGTGTGGAACGCAAAATCACACTCGCAAGTTCTTGAAGAAAACTTTGTGTGTATAACACAAGGAAGTACATATCCAATGGATTCGCCATTCGCTCAAGGAACACGTGCCAGTCAAAAGGCGCTCTGTGTTTTTCTCCCGGAAGACTCGAAGAAAGAATTCTATTCCAATATAATAGTACACAGTAGAATTCCCGTTTAAACTCGAAGCCTTCGCAACTTAAACAACTTGCAAACCAATTGGAATGTCATTTGTCATTTTCATTGGTTTTTACCGTCGCTCCTGTTACGGGGCTTTCAAATTAGAAGAAACAACAAGCTGCACTTCTATCTCAACGTGAGTTTTTGTAATGCAATTTTAAATACGATTCAACACCTAAAGTGTTGCAATTTCCAACTTGTAAACCTTCACTCCCTTTAAGGGGCAGGCAAATTAGAAGAAACGACCAGCTTGTCTTTCCATACAGGATTCTGTAAGAAACCAAATTCAATTCCAATGCCAAGCAGGAATGACAAAGATAATTGCAGACACTTTGGCTTGAACGAGCAGCTTGCAGCATGTTACAGCAATCCATGTAGAGGACCCTTGATTCAAGCGTACAACTTCGCAATATATCAATCCTTAAATACACAGCGCGCTACAACAGTCCGCCAGTCTCCAAAAAAGACCTTTTTTCAAAACGCATCGCCCGGGATCATTCAATTGAATTCACATTGCAGGCGGACGCTTGAAGGTCAGCAAAGAACACTCACCATTTTTTAATGCGCAACTAGCATGCAGGTTTGTCCAAAGTTTGTCCAACACCCCCAACTAGGGCCGCTTTGAAGCTAGTTTGTCCTCAATGTGCTCAGAAGTGCATTCCAACCAATAAGCTTCGCAAGGCGATCTACGCATCACTGGGATGCATGCCAAATGCGGGGATGCCAGCTTTCTGGCCTGAGCTGGGGCAGAAGGTTCACATGGGGTCGCAACAGAAACAACAGCCCAGCATGGCAGTGTTTGACGGTATTTACGGCGCAAGGACCGGTCGGGTTGCTCTGAACTAGCTCATCGATCGCCTTCAAGACCTTAATGTAGTCCTTTAGCTTCAACTGCTCTTGGATATCCATCCTTGCCAGGAGCTTCTGAAATGTCGTCCTGTTGTCCTTCTTGCTTTGGGAAGACTTAAGAAGGAAGTGAAGTTGAAGTCCCGGGAACTAACGGGAATGGCCACTGAAAGGGGGAAGGGCAAGGTGCCCGGTCGGCTGTGTCGTGTCAGTGTGTAAATCCGGCTACGCCTCCTTGGTTAGCATGTCGCCGCAAGGCAATTTTCTGGGCCTGCGGCGTGTCATGTCATGTTTTTGTATGAGAAACGTATCCTGTGCTACGATATGGTTGGTTAGGTTATGCATGTTGCCCACCCCAACCCCAGATGATGCCAGAAAATTGAAGCTAGCAGGCAAATTGCCTAGCGGCGACCTGCGACGCCAGGAGGTAGCCGGATTTGCCTGCTAGCTTTAGCTATGGGGCTGCACCCCTGTGCCGCCGACCCTCATCACTTGGTCGTGATGCGTTGCCTAAATCCGGCACCTCTGCATCACCAGCTTGCCTGTGAGAAACCCCTCACAAAAAGGCCGTGTTGCTGACATCTTGGTTTGCATCATCAAGACTTCCTTCCAAAAAGCCTGTCAATCCATGAATCCATAAAGCACTGTTTTTTAGAAGGTGCTGAAGAAAAATATAAGCAAGGCTCATGTTCGCGCATTTTGGTGCCAAGCGCTGCCGGGCATGCCTGCGACGCTGGCATGTCCGACAGTTTCCCTGCGTTTCCCTTCGCCTTTCACTTCGCTTTATTTCCGTTCAGCTCCCTGCATTTCCCTGAATGCTCCTTCATTCGCAGTGGTTTCTCTTGGTTCTTTTTAGTTCCTGTGACTTCAACCTCACCTCCCTATTTTACGTCAGTTTGCTGCACTTCCCTTCACGTTCTTCCATCTCCTTGCACTTCCCTTCATTTCTGTTTCCCTCCAGCGCCCTCTTCATTTTCTTGCAATTCCCTTCAATTCCATTAAGTTCACTCGTGTCTGCGTGTCTGTGTGTCTCTGTGTGTCTGCGTGTCTCTGTGTGTCTGTGTGACTCCGTGTGTCTGCGTGTCTCTGTGTCTCTGTGTGTCTGTCTCTGTGTGTCTGTCTGTGTGTCTGTGTGTCTGTGTGTCTGTGTGTGTGTGTCTGTGCGTCTGTGTGTGTGTTCCTGTCTGTTCCTGTCTGTTCCTCTGTTCCTGTCTGTGTTCCTGTCTGTCTGCTTGTGTCTGGTCCTGTCTGGTGCTGTCTGGTCCTGTTTTGTCTGGAGCTGTCTGGTGCTATTCTGGTGCTGTCTGGTGCTGTCCGTGTCTGGTGCTGTCTGGTACTGTCTGGTCCTTGGTTTTTTGTTGTTAGAAGCCTGAACCAGCTTTAGACTTGCGGGCAAACATGTTCTTGGAAGCAGAATGCCCTCACGCTTTGCTAATCCCAGACCATGTCGTGTCCTTTCTTTGCTTCTTGAGGACAGGTTTTTCTCCCAAAACGAGCAAGTGAGCAACCGCTACCCAAAAAGCCATACCCAGCCAACCAACCAACCAACCAACCAACCAACCAACCAACCAATCAACCAATCAATCAACCACCCGCAGAACAACAAACAACCAACAACCAACAAGCACCGCCAGCATCACCACCACAACAACAAGAACCACCACAACAACCACAACAACCACAACAACCACAACAACCGCAACAACCACAGCAACCACAACAACCACAACAAACACAACAATCACAACAATCACAACAACCACCAACCAACCAGCCAGCAACCAACACACAACACAACAAACAACGACCAACAAACAACAAGCAACAAGCAACAACAAGCAACCACGCACAAACAAACAAACAAACAGACAAGCAAACAAACAAGCAATCAAGCAAGCAAGCAAACAAACAAACAAATGTACGAACGAATCAACAAAACGAACAAACACACAAACAAACGAACAAACAAACAAACAAACAAACAAGCAAACAACAACCGCTTGAGATGATCAGCGTACCAACAAGAGGGTACCGTCTCCAGATGAAAGATTTTCTGATTTGCATGTTTGTTGTTTGCTGTTTGTTGTTTGCGTGTTTGCGTGTTTGCGTGTTTGCCTGTGTGCACGCATGCATGTTTGTTGTTTATTGGTTGTTGTTTCTTGTTCTTGTCTGTTGTTTGTTGGTTGCATGTTTGTTGTTTGTTGTTTCTTGTTTTGTTGCGTGGTTTGTGTGTGTGTTTTGTGTGTCGCGTGTTGTGTGTTGTGTGTCGCGTGTTGTGGGTTTGTCGTTGTTGTTCTTGTTCTTGTTCTTGCTCTTGTTCTTGTTTGCTGTTGCTTGCTGTGTGTTGTGTAATGTGGTGTGTGGAGTGTGATGTGTGGTGTGTGTTGGTTGTTGGTTGGTTGGTGTGTTGTTGTTGTGGTTGTTGTGTGGTGTTTGTGGTTTGTTGTTTGCATGTCTGTTTGTTGTTTGTTGGTCGCATGTGTACATGTTTGCATGTATGCATGCATGCATGTGTGCTGTATATTATTTGTTGTTTATTGTTTGCGTGTGTGTGTGTGTCGTTTGTTGTTTGTTGGTTCTTTTGTGTTGTGTCGTGCGTGTGGTGTGTTGGTTGTTGTTGTGTTTTGGTGTTGCGGTTGTTGTTTGTTGTTTGTTGTTTGCATGTTCTCATGTTTGTATGTTTGCATGTTTGCATGTTTGCATGCTTATTGTTTGTTGTTGTGTTGTTGCTTGTTGTGCGTTGTGTTGTTGCCTGCATGTTTGCGTGTTTGCATGTTTCAATGTGTGTTGCTTATTGTTTGTTGTTTGTTGTTTCTTGTTTGTTGTTTCTTGTCTATTGTGTGTTGTGTGTCGTGTATTGGTTGTTGTTGTTGGCTTTTGTTTTGTTGTTGTGGTTGTTGTTGGGGTTGCTGCTGTTGTTGTTGTTGTTGTTGTTGTTGTTGTTGTTGTTGTTGTTGTTGTTGTTGTTGTCGTTGTCGTTGTCGTTGTCGTTGTCGTTGTCGTTGTCATTGTCGTGGTTGTTGGTTGTTGGTTGTTGGTTGTTGGTTGTTGCTTGCTGGTTGTTGGTTGTTGGTTGGCGGTTGTTTGTTGTTGCTTGTTGCTTGTTGGTTGTTGCTTGTTGGCTGTTGGTTGTTGGTTGTTAGTTGTCGGTTGTTGGTTGATTGTTGGTTGATTGTTGGTTGTTTGTTGTATGTTGTTTGGAGGTTGTTTGTTGGCTGTTGGTTGTTGATTGTTGTCTGTTGGTTGTTGGTTGTTGTTGTCGTTGTCAACGTTGTCGTTGTCCCTGTCCGGTCCGGTCCTGTCCTGTCCTGACCTGTCCTGTCCTGTCCTGTGTGGCTCTCTGTCTGTCTGTGAGTGTGGGTGCGTGCGTGCGTGGGTGTGCGTGGGTGTGCGTGGGTGTGCGTGCGTGCCCGCGCGTGTGCTTGTGTGCGCGTGCCTGCATGCCTTCACTCCCCTTCAGTTCCCATGTTTTTTCTTCACTTCCTTTTTTCGCTTCAGTTTCCTCTCCTCCAGTTTCCCTTGCTTTCCCTGCCTTTAGTTCCCTTCGCTTTATTATTTGACTGCATCGCGCTGATTTCTTGGTGCAACATACGTTTGCGAAGCCAAGCATGGAACCCAAACACATGCCCAAAACACGACGTTCCTATACAGGTGCGGGGTTTTCTCAGGTTGGATATAAGAAGGATTCCCTAATTTAATCCTGCTTTAAAGCTTGAACAGCGGCAGTTTCATCACAAGCTTATCAGTGAACTGCAACTTGTGCGGGGGAAATCCTTTGCTAGACGTAGCGAACATTTGGGGACTGCCCAGAACTGTTGGTAGATTGCATGTACTCCCAGCCATCCAGGAGGCCCTGCAAAAGCCACCACCTGCAAAGGAGGGTGTCCTTTCTCTCCCGCTGGCTATCAGAAGTCTGAGCCCTGTTGAAACGGGGTAGCGCTTCGCTGAAAATATGGCTGTCGCTAGGCACGGGTCCCGTTGCCAAGGATTCGGGTCCACCCCCGGCACACGCACGGCAATCCGCAGAACGACCAGGGCTGCTACTACAAGCCGCTCGGGACAGATTGATCCACCAAGCAGCAAAGCTGATCGCTGCTAGAATAAGCTGACGGGTTTGGGCGAACTGGGTTGGTTGCGCAGACTATATGCATATACAAATTCACATACTGAATGTGTCTTCGCAATTCCACGTTGCCTGAATAATAAATCGTCCTCGCGCGATCTCAGCCATTGTGCTCTTGCTTCCGGGTCCACTACTTCAGGTCATTACAATGTTCCAGTTGCTGAAGAACATGCGTTATTTCCCTACTGTTGGCTTTGAAGGGAACCTAGTGTTGCCTCTGGGAGACCCCCAACTTATGTTGTTGGTCCGCATTTCAGATTCCTTGCGGCGGAGGTTTTTCAAGGGCAAGGGAATCCGCAGAAACATTAGGGCCCCCGCCCCACCCCGCTTTCCAATTATGATTAGGGATCCGCCGCTTTGTAGTTTGGATTTAGTTTATTTAGTATTAGCAAGTTTAATAATTACGGTTGTCGGGCTTGGGAAAGCATTTTTGTTAGTGGGACCTTTGTAATTGGGTTCGCCACCCCCAACCCCGGCCCCACCCACACTTTTTACGGTTTATGTTGCTGCCACACCTTTTAGGGTTTATGTACGGTTTATGCTGGCCCCACCAACACCATTTTTATGTCGGGCCCCACCAACATCTTTTTGGGCTTGTGTGGCGAACACCTTTTTAGGGTTTTGTTGCCCTCACCAGCACCTTTTAGGGTTTTGTTGGGCCCACCATCACCTTTTAGGGTTTTGTTGGCCCCACCAGCACCTTGTCGGGTTTTGGCCCACCAGCTGTTTCAGGTTTTATGTTGCCCTCCAGACACATTTTAAGGCTTTGCGGGCCCCACAAAGGGTGTTTAAGGATGTTGGCCCACCGACAACTTTGGGGTTTATGTTGCCAGACGCCTTTTAGGGCATGTGCTGGGCCCACCAACACTGTTTTGGGTTTGTGTTCTTTTTGGGCGGGAGCAGCAGGGGCATTGGGGGCGGGCAAGCCTCAAATGTTTTAAGAACCGTTGTGGCCCTCGGTTTTTCCCCTGCAAAACAAGGGGAACTCCAGTCCTCCCAGTTTGTCAGGTACGCTGGCGGCGGCGATTCGCAGCTGATTCCCAACAGGGATCACTCGGTGAACTGGAACAACAACCGCAACGATGTGACCATGGTCTACAAAAAAAGCAACCAAGGCCGGCTGAAAACGCAAGAAGCGAGCCGAGCCACTTATCTTGCATGTGCTTCAGAATGTTTTACTTTTCCTGCTGGATTTGAAACCCCTTTCGCGCTCAGCTTTGAAGTCTCCTTTTTTTCTCTACTTGCCACGAGCTCCTGTTTTCCGAGCAACCTGGGGGTTGGAACAGAAGCCAATTAAAACCCGTGAGTCTGTTTGCGTACGAGTTGAATTCTGACAAGCTACTCCGACCTTCATGCGGGCCCGCAGAGGCCCAAAACGGAGACACACATTATTTTCGTGCTCCGCGCCTCGCACGTCCGCCGTGCGGGCTGGATGGATGGACGCCATGGATGGCGGATAAGAGGGAGAGAGCGAGGGAGAAAGGGAGGGAGGGAGGGAGGGAGGGAGGGAGGGATGGATGGATGGATGGATGGAAGGGATGTGGTGGGCGGGTGGATGGATGGGTGGGTCCGTGGGATGCAATGATACATGGGATGGAGGAAGGGATGGGATGGCGCACACGCACACACACACACACCACACAGCCACCTACCCAACAACGCACACACACACACACACACCCATCCACCCCCACCCCACACCCACCCGCCCACCCAACCCA